TTCTAGCGTGAGTACTTTTTGAGTACTCTCTGGATGAGTACATAGACAGCCCCACAGTCGCTACACTTTACGGAATAAACGATATCTGCTCGTAAGTGTTTTGGTATAGGGTCTGTCGTGTTAAAAAAAGTTTGAACGGATCGAGGTGGCTTACCGAAGAAACGAACATCAAGATCTGAACATAGCTTTCTCGAGATATGAGATATTTATTTTTTGAATAGATGGGTAGGTTTCCCAGTGTAGGGTATTTCAATGTACATTCGTTGTTTCTCGCATCTAATGACTGTAATATCCGGTACTGTCGATCTCTTTAAGTAACTACTTATTCCTATACCGATTCGAGTATTAATGAACGGTAACGGATAACTGTTTTTTAGACCAGTTTCACGAATGTTATCGAACTCAATAGCTAATTACGAGTATGTTGAACATATATCTAGAGATCTTTGTATCATACTAACGATGCTAGCCTTTTTATGCTCGATATGAACAAATGAATCCCATTTTATCATCAGTCCAGTGAACGTATCTTTTCGATGAATAGTTTTTTCAAATTTATTTTTTTCAATTGATTGGGTAACACACACATTGAGAAAAGAAAGAGACTGATCTTTTTCAACTACATGAGTGAACTTGATCGACGGATGAAAGTTATTGAGAATGTCAAGTACACTTTCTATCTTAGCGCTAGGTTCGATAAGTACGAATGTGTCATCGACATGTCGATACCATTCACGAACACCACTTTGTCTCAAACGATCCTTTAAAGATTCCTCGAGATGGGACATGAATATATCGACAATAACAGGACCCAAAGGAGCAACCATTGCGACACCGTTGTGTTGAACATACATTTTTTTCTCGAAGATAAAATGAGTTTTAGATGTAGCTATTCGTAGAAGGTTTTCAAAATCCTTTCTTTATTGACATTCGACACAAAGACGACTCCTTTGTTTATATTGACATACCGAAGGACATGTAGGATACATTTTGTCAAGAATTAAGTCTATAGTATATGTAAGTGGAAAATTAGTAAAGAGACTCTTAATATAGAAAGAGACCATTGTTTTAGCCACAAGTTCTGATGCTCTGATCTTTTTAACAAAATCAAGTGAGTCTTTAACCGTATACGGACTGGCTTCAAGTTGATTCAAACGATTAGTTAACATTTTGCCTAATACATAGGTTACCGTATTTGTAGCTGGCATAACAGGTCGAAGAGGATAGTTTTCTTTCTTTTTGTGTAACTTAGGAAGACCGTAAATTCGAGCTGGTCTCGAACCAGTAGGGCATGCTAAATTGTATTCGTTATCACTTATAAAACCTTCTTTTTTTAATAGAAGCATAAGTGTTCTTAATTCATTTTCGTTCTCTAACGTTGGATCAGAATTAATTAAGGTGAAAGCAGAACGATCATCAAGTATTGCATTCATTCTTTGTACATAATCTGCTCGATCCATGATGACCACGCCGCGTTCCTTACCAGGTCGAGTAATAATAATTGATTTATTTTTGGCAAGAGATCGTAGAATGCCAAACGTTTTACGATGTCCTACACCAACTTCCTTCAGCTTAGCCTGAGCTACTTTCCGAAACGAATTTACAATTTCACGTAACTCAGATGCAGTACTTACTTAGGGTATACCAAAAGTTCTGATCACAGTTTTTAAAATTTAATAAAGCAATAAATATTGAATATTTTACTAAGGCAATATATAGTATAACGTCTCGTCTTTAATAATATATAGAGCAACTCTCTCTTAGACTTAGTTCTAACATCCTTTCAGACTAAATCTATAGTATTTATAGCCAAGAAAAGATCATGCCAACATAAAACCACAATACAGAAACGAAGAGACATTCGTTATTTTATTTTATTAAATGCGCAAAATAATCACCATTATTTTCGATACAAAGTTTCATTCTTTCTAACAGTTTATCGAAAGTCTTTTTAAACTCGTTTATTGGAATATTCTTCACTATGGTGGAAATCTCTTGGGCTAATGATTCTTCGTTTGTGTGATCCGTCAACTTGTTCTTGATATAATCATTTAGCCAAAAGTCACACGGTGCGAGATCTGGTGAATATGGTGGATGTGGAATGATTTCGATTCCTTCCTCCATTAAATAATCAATAACATCTGGATGAGTATGAGGAGGACCATTATCATGAAGCATTTTATATGTAGTACGTGATGACTTTTCCTTTTTTCTTATTTCATTGATAACAGGTATAAGACAATTATCAATATAGTAGTCATGATCGATTGTCTTGCCCTTATCTACTTTGTGTATGAGAAGAGAACCAGTGGATTTGAAGAAGAAGCACAATAGTGTTCTAGGTTCAAATCTATTCCGACGAACAATGGTTCTTGGTAGTTCATTTTCGCCAACCCAAGTAGCATTGCTTGACTTTCGACCAATCTGCCTGTGATAAATCCATGTCTCATCACCAGTAATAACATCACATAAATGCCATGTTCCATTTCTAAATTTCTCTAAATTTTGACGACAAATTCTAAGTCGTTTTTGTTTTTGTTCGTCAGTAAGTTGATGAGCAACCCAACGTGATGTAACTTTTCTCATCTTTAGACGATCATGAATAATTCGTTCTATTGTACCACGTGATAGATCAGTCTCACCCATAATATCATCATAAGTTGAGTGTGGATCATCTTCGATAACTTGTCGAACGCGTTCAACATTTTCATCTGTAAGTACCGAAATCGGACGACCAGATCGAGGATCATCAGTGACATCGTCTCTTCCTTCACGAAAACGTTTCGCCCATCTTCTGACTGTTGGATATAATGGAGCATCAGGTCCCAATGCCTCTGTAAGTTCGTCAAAGATTGTTTTTGAATCTATTCCCAAAATAGCTCGAATTTTGATATAATATCGATTGAATTCATCAGTCATGTTTAATGTCTTCTTTTAAGATTGAAATCAAATTCTATTACGATTTTAAGTCGAGTACGGTACAAATGAACTAACAGCGAACGACCTCTCATTTATATATACTATCGAAATGTAATATTCTAGAACATGGCGTCATAAAACGTGACGAGAGAGTGACCAATAGAAAGTTCCAGAATGTACCTGACCATTGAACAAGAATTAATAATATTTGCATTGTCTGTAAAATTATAGATTTAGTCTGAAAGGATGTTAGAACTAAGTCTAAGAGAGAGTTGCTCTATATATTATTAAAGACGAGACGTTATACTATATATTGCCTTAGTAAAATATTCAATATTTATTGCTTTTTATTAAATTTTAAAAACTGTGATCAGAACTTTTGGTATACCCTAAGTAGTTGTAATGATGTTAGTTGATGATGAACAACCTAAGTAGCCATTTTCTGTTCGTAATGACGATACGCGGTTCGAATATTTAGAAAACACGCATAAAAATATTCCACATTACAAACAAATTGTGGTTGATCAAAGTTTTCAAGTAGATAGACGTTATCCAATCCATTAATGAGTGCGGTGTGCTCTTTCTCTGTTAGGGTATATTTTGAAAGATTTGTCACCGGATCAAGAATCTCTCGCTTTGGGACATGCTTTATTTTATAAGTCCGTAAAACACTCATCTTTTTCTGATGAGTTTCTTTAATCTATCTCATTCTTCTATTCTCAATTTCTTGTGCGATAGATTCTAAATGAATATAAACAATACAAGAAACACTTTCTTTCAGATCTGCCGCTAATCGATTTAAATGTCTTGATGTTTGTCTCAAAAGACGTTGTTTAAACAAACTTCATTTCCGCTTGCAGGATATGATGAGCACACTTCTGAACTAATTTAGCATCAGCTATATAAGGATTTGAGAGACGAAATCGAGCGAAAGTAGGTATCAAGTTTTCCTCTTTACAGATACGAATGAATGCAATTGCGCTTTTTAACCTGAATATTCGGAGTCGTTCTTTAACCAACTCACCAAACAGCTTACTGGTAGCTGTTCAGTAATGACGCCAAAGATAATTATACACGTTTCCTGCGGACAATGGCAAAAACTTCAAAGCATACATACACAGCAAAACAGCCTTGAAGAACATAGTATTTTATTCAGAATAAGTGAGTATTAACTTCGAAACAATAAAATCTGACAATAATACTTAACGAAAATATATAAACGCTCCACAATCAGAAAAAAAAGAATAAACCAAACACAATCAACACATGCATCAAAATATACTCAATACCATATACAAACACAATAACAGAACAACAGCGAGAGTCACCAACATCGTGTAGCGTAGATGCACCACAACAGAGAAAACAGAACAAAAACACAATTGGCACAGACCGAGAGAACAACCAAAAAGAAACAAAACGAACCCAACAATCCAACACAACAGCAAATACTCACCAATCATGACTCACAAACTTTTCAATCCAGTCCACAAAAATTAACACACTGTTACAAGACTAAATACCAAATATCGTAGAACGCCTCACTCTTCCTAATCACCAACATCGCACACATAACACCATCAGGCAAAACACCATTTCACCACAAGTTACAGTAAGAAAAAAGTCACAAAATTACCAACATCTTATGAGTACTATTCAATAGAGTACAAGTTCGTGGTTATTCTGGAAAATGATCTCATAGAAGATCGAAATGTCGAATTAATTAAATTAAATTGTCGAATATACTTTTGCCACTTTATTTATTTATTGTATTGATAGTTTTATTCATATTTAATAAAATTTATTTAGTCATCCTAAATATTGTTTAATGCAATGGTATTTATATGCATAGTTTCTGGATTAAAATTAATAAAAACATTCATCGAAGATAAGGCAAGTAATACATCTTCATCTTCCACTAAGTCGTTTTGACAAAGTTGTTCATGATTAGATTCTTGTAATAAAACTTGAACTTTTGACCTTTCAACAATGAATTGAAATATATTATGATTAATATCGGTTACATTAAGTTTTATTTTGTTTTGTTGGATTGAGTCTTTTAAATACAATGATCTTGGTTTACATGTTATACACGTTATAGTCTTGCCATTATATTCAACGTCAGTTGAATAACATTTTGGACAAAGTCAAGGCTGCTCTATTACTTCAATTGATGTTATTTTACCTGCTATTGATGACTCTTGTATGATGTTAATAAAATCACAAGAGACAACATCACCGATGTTTTCGATAAGTTCAAATCTAGAAATATGTGTACATGTTTTGTCAGAAGTATATATTAAGGGATATTTCTCAATTTGGAAGCTGTTTGTAAATAAATTAAGTAAAAATGAAGACAAGTAATAGAAAAGCTCACGTTGTATGTTTTTGTCGTTGTTACAGATATTTCATCATTAAATATTGTCACTTTTGCTAATTTAATTAAGTAATATTGATCCTTTTCTATAAATGTAAAATTATTCTTCCAAAGATTTAATTTGATGTAGTTTTATCAGTCACTAGAACAGCTTTTTAAACTTTTGAATCCTTTTATGTGCATTATTAAACCATAACAGTTCCTCCTCAAAAAGAAGAGATTTCGTAAGAAACTTCTTTTTAGAATGCTTACAGAGTCAACGTCTATAATTTGACATGGAAATGTTACATATTCTCCGTCTGACATAGATTGAATGTTTTTGATTGGTGTATGTTGAATGCATAAGGCAGAGATGAAACCGGTACCGGTAACCGGCCGGTCCGGTCCGGTACTGGTCTGATCGGTCGAAACCGCCTTATACCGGTCTATATTTTTACTTTCCTGCTCTATGATGGTATTCATATGGAAAAACAACTGGCACCAAGACTAGTTCCACTGATCACACATGAGTTTATTTAAAAAACAGTTTTCAGAATGCCCATCAGTGAGACTATTGTTATCAACGGTGAAACACTATACCAGTATGCGTGAAAGTACGAGGGTAGCCCATAAGAGAGTTCACTATGAAACAAGGCTTCATTTCAAACCTCAGCCTGTTGTCTGTAGATCCCTATTTTGTCGGTAGGTCGGATTTTCTCTTACAAACTGACGTATCATCAGCATCCTGTTTAGTACCGGTAGGCTAGTTTTGGCCGGTAGACCCGTGATATCAACTTTTTCCGGTAAATCGGTTTCGGTCGGTAAACCGGTTTGGACCGGTTTTTACTGGTAGATCGGTTCCATCTGTGGCGGGAGATACATTAAAAAGAAGATTCACTGTAAGAATCGTTGTATTATTGGTGTAGCTATCATTCCACATGTAATAACATATGCATTTTCATCACTATTTTTCAACTTGTTTAACTTGACACCAGATTGATTGTTAAAATGTTCAATCAATTTTGTACGAAGCATGCAAGTTCCTGTTGATGATAAATATTTTGTTATTCGATGGATTTTCTGATCTTTGTCACACAACAAAGCAGTTCAAAATTTACGTTTGTTATCAAGTTGTAAATTGGAAATATCGCTGACCAGAACAATGATACCTTCCACTACTGAACTAGATTGGGTGTTCGAAATATTGTCGTTTTTAACAATATTGATTGTTTGTTTCATTGTGGAATATTTTTATAACGTAAAAAAATTGAAAAGAAAACATAGTCAAATAATGTTGAAAAAAATGGTATATAATAAATAGCGCGATATTTTTTCTTTTAATAGTAGAAAATGTTAGTGAAATAGCTTTTTCTTTTTTTTATACTATTATTATAAATATCAATAATGTAAAAAGTTGTTGAACAACAAAAATATAGTTTTGGTTCAATGGCTTCGAGATGTTGTTTTCGAAATTTGACTATTAATGTTTATTTCAGAAAATAAGTAAGATATTGGCGTGATTTTTTGCGTACAACATATGCAAGATTACTGGTGAGTTAGATATAATTATATACATTTAAGAAGTGTCTTAATGAGGAAAAATATAAAAATGATGTAATAATGAATATGATGAAATATAGTGATATATTATAGGCTGTGAATTGAAAAAAAATAGATATTTCTAAAGTAAATAATTTTATAGAGATTCATGAATTTGAAAATCATTCTTTTTGGTATGTCTTGAATGAAAATGAAATTGGAATATAGATTTCATGGATATTTCAATATTAAAAAATGTTTAACGACGAAATATCAGCTGAAAAGTTGAGCAAGTTAAGTAGTAGATAAAATCTCTATATGGAAGAATATCAAAAGAATATAACTATGACATTTTATTTGGTATTCCAATTATTACTGTAACAGATAGATAAGATTTGTAATAAATGAAATGATATTATCAAAAGTCAAGTACGTGGCAACGAATTGCCAGTTTTTTAAAATGATCTTACCAGATGAATTTCTAGTTATCTGAATTTTGTTGATTTTTGAATACTTGAAACTTTGTTTATTTACTTTAGTCGAACGAATTAATGTTATTAAACTAAAAAATGATTCCATGTTTAACATATCAATTGACGTGACAAATATTTTAGTAACGGAAATGAGTTTACAAAGCAGAAAAAATTGAAATTTATTTTGATACTCTCGTACTTAGTTGAACAATATCAAAAATGAAATAGATGATTATTTATGAACATCGATATGCAATGCTGTTATGATTATGAGTAAATATACTTGTTAATTATGAAAGAATGCAGCGATTGCAGAATAGATTTTGGATTTTTGACAAGCATCCTTTCCGCTGAATGATAATGAATAAAGCAAAACTTTTGCTCATAGACATTGCCGATTTATGATGTGTAGAATATGAATATTGCTTTTTTTTAATCCTGTTTTTAGAATTTATATTAAATTATAATGTTCGAAAAATTTTTTATGTAGACAGAATGAATCATAGTTCTCGCTGAAATGGCATCTTTGAAAACGATACATTCTTTCAAGTTGAAATTCGTTGCAGCGTTCAATCCTTGTAGCGAGAAATGCATTTATATCGAATACTTTTGGACAAAGAATATTGAATCCACTTTGTTGATATTTAAGTAAACGTGGAACTCCTCTCATATACTGCGATGTAGTAACTGGGATTGCATAGCACGTTGTATGACCAGAATTCAGTGCTTGCAAACAACTAAAGGAAATAATTACTCGTTTAGAATCAAATGCGCAAGCACAAATATCAAGATCAAACGAATATAGAATTCGTGAAATAATGATAGGATATAAAGTTGGACGAATAAGTTGAATAATGATTGATGGCAAGAAGTTTTTGCCATTGAAAATGTCATTGATTGTGATTTTTCGATATAAATCAAATTGAATTAGTCTATTGGAGCAAATAGTTTTACGCCGAACAAAGTATTTGTTTTGTAATCGATTTTCTAATTCATTCTAAACATTACCAACGAGAACAAATGATAGTTTGGGAGAGGTAGTTAACTGAACTCTATTTTATTCTATTTTATATAAAATAGTATATGAATATTTCATAAACCCGACAACTACAACCGCTGTCTAAGGAATTCTTTTTAGTGAAAATAATTAATTTTGTATTAATGCGCGCTGTATTAATGAGTTAGAAATTCACAAATATTATAATTTCTTCTGATTGTAGAATTCTTTGAATTTAATTTGTCAATGCGTAGCAAAAGTGTTACTATCTTTTTTGAATTAATTCACAATCTTTTATAAATTACAACAATTGCAATTTGGTGATATTAGGTACCGGTTTATAGTTAGATCAAGTAATGTATTTTTTTATAGCTGATAGTGATTACATTAGAAAACGTGATATAGAAACATCTCACATTAATTTTATTTTATTGGTTGTAGAATGTTTTGAACTAAGTTTGAAGATGAGGTGAGATTTGAAATACATTTTTTATAACATCGAACTAGTATGTTTAGAATAAGTGGATTATTTATAGTATTGAGAAATCAGAGAAAGAAAAATTGTAAGGCTTACTACTGCAGTTTTAATATTCGTGCATTTTGTTTTAAAAAGAATAAATCGATATCAGATGTATTTTTTGTTAAAGATTCGACAAGTAAAGACGAAACAATTGAACCACCAACAATAACAAATATATCCCAATCAATATAAGGTCCCCAAATATCATATTCATATCGGCACGTGATATTTTCAATGAATTGATTCAAGTTGGTAACAACATTTGGTATCCCAGATCGAGCTTTACGGCGACCAGAAACGACCGTATACGGAAAAAATATAGCCATACCTTCGCCGTTTTGGTATGGACCGTTTTTGCGCCGTCAAACATAACTAATGTCGGATTTTTTTTAAGTACTAACGACTATTTTTTGAATAACTTTTCAAGAATTCAAGCTACAGACATCGGGTTTTCATCGTTAGAAAGAGCAAGGTGGAGGACGTCGATCTGTATAAAATTCATTAAGTTCAAGCCTCTTTTCTATAGCTGTTTGCAGTCAGATATTTTTTTGTTGTTTATTGTCATGAGTTTTCGTGACAACTTAGCATCAAATTAGACCAAAATGTAGCCCAAATCTTCCTGTATTTGTGCTAAAATTCTCATATTTTAAAATCAAAGCGTAAGGAAGAAAACCGAGAATAAAACGCGAAGATTTGAAAATTTTAGCACAGATACAGGAAGATTTGGGCAACATTTTGATCGAATTTGATGTCAACTTGTCACGAAAACTCATGACAATAGACAACAAAAAAAATATCTGACTGCAAACAGCTACAGAAAAGAGGCTTGAACTTAATGAATTTTATACAGATCGACGTCTGTAGCTTGAACTGTTGAAAAGTTATTCAAAAAATAGTCGTTGGTACATTAAAAAAACCCGACATTAGTTCAACATTGATTCGCATTCATCTATGAATTTGATTTCTATGTATAAATTCTATTTATGAAAAAATCTTTTATTATTATTTAAAGTATATGATTTATACTCTTTAGAGTCAAACTATGATAATTATATTAAATCGTTTATAGTAATAAAGCGATATGAATGAGATAGTATAGATGGGCATATCAATACTATAACACTATCTATTGGTTTTAAAACGAAATTGTCTTAAACAACATTATTTACATGTAAACAAAAAATAGTCGGTAATGCTGTCATAATGAATTACTGCAAGAGGCGTAAATAAATAAGAAAACTAATTTAAATTCGATTCGATGAAGTTTAATAGGTAAAATATTTCTAATAAAACTTCGGATTTCGATGTATAAGATGAGTTTATTTAAAAACAAAAATATCTAAGCAAAAAAGAAACTCGTGCTCGCTACCTTCGATTGTTGCTCGTATGACTGGTAATTGATAGAGGAAAAATCTTTATAGTTTGCTCACTATTTAGATAAAAGAACATTTGTTCTATTTGTTCGAAAGAAATCCAAAATGTAGAATAGGACTTTATGAAAATTTTTATAGAAATGAGAAAAAAAGCAATTTTTCTAACCGAAATAAAATAATGAGTTAATGAAATGAATATTCTCTATTATTACTCTATCAGATGCTTTTATAACGTAATATAATTTGTTTTTGCATTCTTAAAAGTAAATTATATAGTAAATGAAGACTTTTTTCAAGGAAATCATTCAAATCGAACTGTACTTGATGAACTCTCATATATGTAGAATAATATATACAAAGATAAATTCTTGTTCAGTATTGAAATAATGAAAATAGTGAACTTATTAAATTTAATTTGGTCAAAAATAATGAATGATTTTAACTCGAATAAATTACATTCAAAATTCGTTTAAAGATTCAATAATTCAAAGAGGAATCTTAACTGGATTATGTTTAGCTACTGGAATAGCTATTCTTATGTTACAAATAAACAAAACAAAAAGTTTTTAATGAAAAAGACTAATTCGAAGAAAATTTTAGTGATCCTTCATATCGAGATGTTTTCCATTTTTTTTTATTAATTTCGAATTTCACATTGACAAATTTCATTTTGCTCTAAAGGTTTTTATAGATTAAGATAATAAAACAGACTGGAAAGCCATGTATGAAAGTTGCATTTTTTATTTAGAATTCAATGAACAAGTGCGTTTCGAAGTTTTTTTTTCCGAGTATGTCTTATTTATTATTACGTCCTAGGGCGCTTATAATGGTATTATGAAGCTGCTGAATATATGGTGACTAATCACGAAGATAATCCTAATTTTTCAGATCATTTTACTTATATAGAATATTATAAAGACAAAGTTAATCGAAGATTAAATTATATTTTTCAACGATTATTTCAAGAAAAAAGATCGCGATTGTAAAAATGCTTTCAAGTAACAAAAATATTTTTCTGTTGTTTTATTTAAATATGTTTGTTAATGAGTATGCTGTTGGTCAACCAATGTCGTGTTTGATTTACGTTATTAGTGGATACAAACGAAGATTCATTTAACAACTTGTTTCATTCAGCGAGAATTATTTCATTTAAAGGGGTTCCCTCAGAAAAAGCCAATTTCGTACGAATGTATCGATTTTGTGATTTATAGCTTGTTAGATAGAGCAAAGTGCGTGCCTTCAAATGCACTATAGTTTATTGATTTTATGATGATGTTTAAGGATATTATACAGGTTTTTCTGAATCCTCATATAGGAAAATAACATTTTTTCTGAGGGTGTGGATATGGGTGCAGTGTGTATGGGTGTACTTGTGGATATGGAACTTCTCATCAATGTCACCTACTCACACTCACTTTCCGATTACTCGGCACTTTTTTAGCGATTTCGAAGACATGAAGTGTTTCTAAATGAGAAATAAGATCTATCCGATTAATATCTTTTCGATCTTCAACATTTGATAATAATTGTTAAGTTTCTTGATTAAGTCTCATTTATTTTTCTTTAATAAATAAATCTTTAAGTATATTACGTTCTAATAATTGATACGCTGACACTTGGTTTTGGGCAGATAACTCTCATTGATCGTTAGACATATCATCGTCATCATCTTCACTGTCACTGCTGTCTTCATTGTCAGTGAATGTCGGTAATATGATGGTCTTTAAGTTTGGAATATTATGAGATATAGAAAAGTCTGGAACTTCACGATATAAAGTTGAGAGAATAGCTTGTGCGTGTAAAATAGAATTTTGTAATTCAGATGGTGATACATGTTGAGTACGATCCATATCTTTAAACTTGAATGCGAGAATATTTTTAACAGCTTCGGCAATATCATCAGAGAAATTACGAAAATCCTGTCGACCACTTGTAAAATGATACATTCCAGCTCGTAAACGTAGTACGAGATGTAACGAACTTTCTTTTGGTATACTGTAGTCTGAAAGAGTTCTGCCATCTTCTAACTGCATTCCACGAAATATAAGACGTTGTTGATCAGGAGGAATCCCTTCACTAGCTTGTATTAATTCTTTCACAGTAGCTATATCCATATCTGAGTCCACATTGCAAGTGATAGTTTTTCCAACCAGAGTTTTTACAAACATTTGAAAATGCATAATACTGGAACTGGTAACACTACTCTTTAGAAAAGAAACAAAATGATATAAGATTAAAAGAAAAAAAAAGAAATTACAGCTTACCTTCTGGTTGGTGGTTTTTCCCATAATGATACAATTACTTTGATATAACTGAGAAGACATGATAGTATCTTCCGATTTTAGTGGTGTACCGTTTGTCCAATGCTCTCTGCTTGGTTTTACATTTTGATCTATCGTACATGACTTTAATTCTATATTAGTAAATTGCCGTTGCTTCTTTATTTGCATTTTGATTTTCTCCATGTTATCCGTCAATAGAACTTTTAATACAATTTTTCGAGACCATGAATCTTCATAACTTCCGACCCATACAATTGTTTCACCGTATGTAATAAATTGATGACCATTTTCATATTTGGATACAGCTGATTTTAATTCACATTCATTTAATGATGAAATAATACTCTCGTTCATAGTACCAATCTTAATCCATTCTTGTAAATACTTCGGTACATAATCCTTCTTATATTTTCTAAATACTTTATTGATTGATTCATGATCCATACATTTTTTAAGTGTTCGATGTCCATATGGATCTAGAAGTGTTAATGAACGTGATTTCAATTCATTTTGTATTTTCTTTTCAGTTTGCAATTGATTATCAAGAATATTTTCTATTTGAAGCATTTGATTTTGAATTTTTTGAACTTGAGAAACTAACTCTTCATAAACAAATGATGTTGGCATCGTAGGAATAATATCAACAGTTGCCGTATTATGTATATCTAGTCAATTAGTTATCTGAAAGAAAACTTTTGTATATATGAAAATAAAGGTATAGATGAATTGTTTCGTATGATCTTCAATCTATCTCTGAATAAGGATTTGCGTTGTATTTTCGAACATGCACGAGAACATAAGAAGAAGAAGACCCATTTTCTATGAAATGGACAAACTAGGTTTGTGAACTATTCTTTTCTACGGAAGATATATTCTAGTTTAGGCACCGAAAATCTCCGCTCGATGTGAAAAGAGTTTTTATTTAACTATAAGCTTCGTTGTTTAAATCTGGTTACTTATAACATTTAATTAAGGGGGAACCCTCCCTCAGAAACCAACTTTGTTATTTTTTGTCCGATTTCAACCAAATTTTGGGAGAATATTAGCCTAGGCTAGGATAGATTATGAGTGAAATATCTCCCCCAAACCTCCAGTATACTAACGAGTTATAGTCAATTTATTGGTAAAAAGTACTCTATACGCGGGCAGGGTTTTCACCACGAGGGCTACAAGCAAAGAGGCCGGGATGGTTTTAAGTTATAGAGTGGCTCTAGGGCTAGGTCGTGACAGAGTCCAATTTTTGAATTTTCCTTCTTTTGTTTTTTAAAAATCCCATTTTCAAAAATTTTTGGTCTCATGACTAAAAAAATCACCGATCAGAATGAAAGATATACGGTTTTTATTTCAGCAAAAGAGAAACTCAAAAATCCGGCTCTGTGACGACCTAGCCCTACCTGTCTACTATACAATAAAAAAAATATATCACTTCTATACCGAGTCGTTATGATGAAAAGCCTGCCCGCGTAAACGGCATGCTCGAAAAAGCTGGTTTTGAGAAAAACGAAAAACAAAATTTTTGATGGAGTTAACGTTTTTATTCGAAATAAATCTGTTTATTAGTTTAATATTTCTGCACTATTCGTCAAGCTTTATTACTAGCGCGTATGTAGATATATCGTAATACGGTTAGAAGTACATACCGTGCCTAAACTATGATCATGGTTCCTTATACATAGATGCCACTTTAAGTCACGCATGTTTGTATGAATTTTTCGGTTAACTCAAAAGATTAAATTTTTATGGCATATATAACTAGTCAAGGTCTTTTAGTTCTGAAAGTTTCAGCTCTATAGCTGGCAATACTGATGAAGTACATCGATTTATTTGAAATACATAATTTTCCTAACTTGTTTTTTTTGACTCATTTTCAGAAAAAGTTAGGTACGAGTATTTGTGTATCTCAACTTGACTGATATATTTTACCATTAGTGCTAGCTATACAGCTGAAACGTTTTGGATTAAAAGACCACGATTGGTTACACATGTCATAAAAATTTCAGCTCTGTCAGATAAACAAAAGTATGACAACCAGAGATGTGCACCGCGCCTAAAAAGCGAGGCGGAGGCGGCGCGGAAAGGAGGCGGAAGTCCCAAAATCGTGGTAGAGGCGATCACCGTCAGAGAGCTTTTTGGCGGAGGCGGCGCGGCCGCCTGTGCTTTCTTTTTCAACGAGGTGCGGAGCGACGTGGCCGCCCATGCACTTTTTTGCAACGAGGCGCGGAGCGGCGCGGCCGCCTGTGCATTCTTTTTCAACATAGCGCGGAGCGGCGCGGTCGCCGGGCGCCCGCCTGGCGGTCCACCTGATAAGAACTGAAGAAATCCATTATACCTATTTTTTCCAAACTTATTGCACTATAGTATTGCTCAACACATAAAGGAGGACTTATTAACATTCATATATGAACGACAACATCAAATTGAAGGGGCCATGAAAGAATGTACTGTTTAACAAGATTTAACTAGACATGTATGTATTGATATAGCATTATTTTTCGTGTAAATTTATTTTACACTTGAGTTGCACAAATTCAAGTTCAGAATAACTTTAAAAACTATTGGGTTGGCGGAATGAAAATTGGACACTTGAATATTTTTTTTAAAATTTATTTATTTAATAAATAAATAATATTAGTCAATTATATAATCGCCATCATTATCTACTACTGCTTGCCAACGCGTAGGCAAAGCATGAATGCCTTCAGCATAAAACTCCTTTGGCTTTTAGCTGAAAAAGTTGCTAAGATATTCTTGAATATCTTCTTCTAGTGTCTAATTTTCATTCCGCCAACCCAATATATTCTTCCGAATGAAACTCATCAAATTCAGATATAGGTCGATTTAATATCGGAATAATTTTTAATGAACATTGCTTAGTATTCAATCTTTAGATTTAATCAATAAGTATGAAAGTGAGGTGGTAAAAGTTAAAGGTATCTCAAGCAAAATGACTATTAACGATTTAATCTGCTTCCGTTACTTTGCAATGTTTGATGCTTGTTTTTTGTTAAAGATTGGCGTTATTTATTATCAACTACAGTCGTGCAAAAGTTACAGACACAAGGTGAAGGAAAGATATAAGGGAGGCAAAAGAGACGGGTAAAATATTACCTAAATAGAATGATGCGCTTTGTTAGAGAAAGAAAAAACTGAAGCGAACAATATATCTAGTATGCGTGACTACCTAGCATAAATGTTAATTTACTTACACACTATTAATATCCATTTCAATGAACAGTGCAGTCGGTTGTAAGTTGAATAACTCCAGCTAGGAAACAGCTAGAGACCTGCGGTTTTCAGTTTTGGATAGAAGGGCAGCAACTTTATATGGAAATATGAGCAAAACGGCACTATCCCAAAATTTGAGATCACCTGCCTGCAAAATTTGCAGCAACTTGCCTAAGCGTCATCACTGACATTGGCATTGAGTTTTTTTGACATAGGTTTAATAAAGTAGACGATTATCTATCATTTGACATCAACCCCAGCTTTCTAGCTTTTACCGTTAGGAAGTTACAGGCATTTCTCCTAGAGTCCAAAAGTAGCATTTTCAACAGTTTTCACGATTTTTTGACCCTTCATTGGAGTCAAATTACTAAACAGAGTATGTATTCGGAATCAGCATGCAAAACTACGTCGAATGACATGTCTTTGAGCTTCATTTGATGACTTTCGTTTTGGTCACTCAACTATCACAGCGTTCTGTGGATCATAGCATGTACATGATATCTATATGGTGAAAAATGAAAGTCATCAAATGAAGCTCAAAGACATGTCATTCGACGTAGTTTTGCATGCTGATTCCGAATACATACTCTGTTTAGTAATTTGACTCCAATGAAGGGTCAAAAAATCGTGAAAACTGTTGAAAATGCTACTTTTGGACTCTAGGAGAAATGCCTGTAACTTCCTAACGGTAAAAGCTAGAAAGCTGGGGTTGATGTCAAATGATAGATAATCGTCTACTTTATTAAACCTATGTCAAAAAAACTCAATGCCAATGTCAGTGATGACGCTTAGGCAAGTTGCTGCAAATTTTGCAGGCAGGTGATCTCAAATTTTGGGATAGTGCCGTTTTGCTCATATTTCCATATAAAGTTGCTGCCCTTCTATCCAAAACTGAAAACCGCAGGTCTCTAGCTGTTTCCTAGCTGGAGTTATTCAACTTACAACCGACTGCACTGTTCATTGAAATGGATATTAGTATTAGTAATTAAAAATAGTATGTTATTTCATTATAAAATGATTATTAAGCTGACGTGCCTGGTTTTATTATTTATAACTAAACTCGAAAAAAAGATAGATCCCACTTAAAAACGCTAAACTGACTTGTTCTTTCGAGGTTGAAACTAAAAAAGAAACTCTAATACCTAATATGTTAAGGCGCGGCCGCCCGGCGGACATTTTACTCAGAGAGGCGGGTGCGGGGCGACCGCCGGCGGACATATTACCTAGAGAGGCGGACGCGGAGCGGCCTCCAAGCGGACATATTATCTGAAGCGGCGGGGGCGGAGCGGACGTCCCTAAAAATTTTTTTCGGCGGTGCGGCCGCCCAAAAACCGCGCCATGTTTGACATTAGGGCGGGGCGGTCCGCGCGAGCGGTGCGGACCGCCCTCCGCTCCGCCTCCGCCTCCGCGCGCGCGGTGCACATCTCTGATGACAACTATCATTAACAGTATATCATCAATTATTATGCAACACTCTTTATTACTCATCATCACATCTTCTGAAAAAACCTCCCTAGAAAAAACCCAATCTTCATGTTTCGCGGAAAAAAACTATGCTAGGTTGTAGTCTGTTACAAGACCTATCAGAATATGTATAAATCCTAAAATCGAATTTTTTTCGAAAAATTGACTTTTCTGAAGGGGGTTTCCCCTTAAGAGATGTCTTTAACCATTCGCTACTACACAAACCGATTGAGACGATTGAAAATCGATCACAATTTTTTCTCTCATTTGGAGACTTGTCTGATTTATTGATTCAAATTTATCGACTTGTACATGTTAACTATCGGAAGAATCTAGTAATAGAAACTTCTTTAGTCCCAAGTTCATTACATTTATCTATCAACGTATTTGCTTTTTTTTGATGACTGACGACGATGATATTGACTCATCGTGTGTCGTTGATTACAGTAGGGTGGAAAAAAATGTTGAATGGCAAAACTACTGAGACATGTTTCCTATTAGTTCTCAGATTCTCATGTTTTCCGACCAAGAAAGAGTCAGACAGTAATCATAACATTCGGATCAGAATTATTACAGATTTAATGGTACCCAAAGATGTGAAGAAAAACAATACTGACTGTACAGATTTCAATCTCAAATTGATTGGAATTATCCAACTTATTCAACGACTTTAAATCGTTGATTGTCACGACTAGCTTAGTAGACATGATGTAAACAGAAAGTACAGCTACTCACTAATTTTGACACGACAGTCGAACCAACGTATATTTATTTTGGAAGCTAGGAAAAAAAATAACTTACGACAATCAACATTATATATAATTTTTCAAGTCCTTTACTCATTGGGTGTTTTTTTGAGCAAGTAAAATTAGTCAGTTACAAGTATCTTATGTAATAACATATTCAATGCACGCAAAAGAATGAAGAAAAAGCGCACA